GACCAACCTGCATAAGTGTGCGAACGTTGAAGGCAGCCAGTTTGAATGGCGCACGTGGTTTCAGAAAAACTGCTTCAGTACTCATATTCGATGGTAACATACAACTTTCAACCGGAGAGTGACTCGAGAACGTTTAGATACAGTCGGATTTCCACCAAAGCCGAGCCGCTGTATAAGTATGAAAGAGGGTGAATAATGTGGGAAATAATAATAATAATAATAATAATAATAATAATAATAATAATAATAATAATAATTACAATAATAGTAGTAATAATAATAGTATTAATAATGACAATAATTGTAATGATAATAATCTGAATCAATTGTTTGTTTTTCAATGCGAGAAAGGTAATTTCCATAGGCATAAAGAGTTCATCAATTTGTGTGTGGGCTGTGATACTGCCCGGGTGCCCAAACCGAAGCAGGTGGTTTTCTTAGGTGACCACTTCCCGAGCCTTTGACCTAAAGGTCTAACCCACAAGGCAGTGGAGCATCGTAAGGAGATGCAGTCCCATGGTAGCCGGTGACCAAAGATTGGTTCATACGCCATTTGTTCCCGCAGGATACTGGAGCCCATGTGCACCATTGGTTTGTGAACCGGTTAAAGCGCCGGACATTCGCTTTTCGTCCTCTCATTTTTGTAAACAACACCCCCGCCACGAGAAGGCAATGAGTAGGACTTCCCCATATCACATGGAGATTGAGGTTAAATGCTCGACTAGATTTAATATATTAAAATGATTCAAATTCCTTGATAATAATTTTGACAATAATAACACTATTATATTACCGGTCTGCGTCAACACCTGAACTCAGGATAGGGAGTGAAGTAGTCGAACGCATTGACAACTTCACTTATCTTGAAAGTCTGATCAGCCCTAATGGGTTGGTATCTGACGAAATTTCAGCACGGATTCGAAAAGCTCGTTTGGCTTTTGCCAACTTACGTCACCTATGGCGAAGGCGAGATATCCGTCTATTAATAAAAGGACGAGTATACTGCGTGGCAGTCCGTTCTGTTTTAATTTACGGCAGCGAAACATGGCCATTAAGAGTAGAAGATATTCGCAATTTACTAGTATTTGACCACAGATGCCTTAGAAATATTGCTGGCGTCTGCTGGGATCACCGGATAAGTAATAGTGAGGTTAGACGCAGGGCATTAGGTAATGATGGTAAATCGGTTGATGAGGTTGTGAATCTTCATCGACTGAGATGGTTGGGTCACGTGTTACGCATGCCCGAACACCGATTACCACGACGTGCAATGCTAACCGGTGCTGGAGATGGTTGGAAGAAAGTTAGGAGCAGCCAAATCAAAACGTGGCACAAACCCATGAAGTCACTAACTTCTAGTCTGAGCCATGTTGATAGATGCAGACTACTTGATTGGGGTGATTGGTGATTATTGTAACCAATAGTTAGAGACTCTTTATTGACATGGCTCAGAATCGATCACAATGGTGTCGGTGTATACTTTCTCTGTTTCCTTAAACTAAGAGATTAAAATGCTTCATATCTTCTTTCTACGTACTAAATCTTCTTCCTGTACTATATCGACATTGCAATCTGATATATTTCCACACTGAGTTAACTGCTTCTATGAATTCTGGTTCATCTTGTTGTGTTTATGAGGTATGGCAACGTGGTCCAATGCATATATGTGCCCGGTCCTACTGTGTAGCTGACTGACTTTTTTCGAGTGATTTTCTGCCAGGAATAAATATTCGTTGTTCTTCTTATGATATCCCTAATAACTACTTGCCAAGTAAAACTAATCAGCACTGTGAAGTTGGGTTAAGGATTATGATGAATTTGAAGTTTAATTAATATTGAAAAAACAGCATTAGGAGTATTTTGTTTGTGGATGGAATGAGCTTACACACAATAGGGTAACTGCATGATAAGTTAGAAAGCTGAGTTCAATCACAAATAATTGTGTGGGAAATCCAAATTATTCATCTAAGAATTACACAGGGGTCCTGAAACTCGGGAGAGATCGTTTTTTATCTAATCAGCATTGAGTAGACGTTTTCAGAAACTGTAGCAAGGAATAGTCACATGTCATATTTCGATGAATGATTACCTATCTGCTATTATATTTAGTATGGTTCCATAAACTCACAGAATCCGAGGCCATCTTCGTTAGTAGTAGTAGTAGTAGTAGTAGTAGTAGTAGTAGTAGTAGTAGTAGTAGTAGTAGTAGTAGTAGTAGTAGTAGTAGTAGTAGTAGTAGTAGTAGTAGTAGTAGTAGTAGTAGTAGTAGTAGTAGTAGTAGTAGTAGTAGTAGTAGTAGTAGTAGTAGTAGTAGTAGTAGTAGTAGTAGTAGTAGTAGTAGTAGTAGTAGTAGTAGTAGTAGTAGTAGTAGTAGTAGTAGTAGTAGTAGTAGTAGTAGTAGTAGTAGTAGTAGTAGTAGTAGTAGTAGTAGTAGTAGTAGTAGTAGTAGTAGTAGTAGTAGTAGTAGTAGTGGTAGTGGTAGTAGTAGTAGTAGTAGTAGTAGTAGTAGTAGTAGTAGTAGTAGTAGTAGTAGTAGTAGTAGTAATATTTGTATTTACTTACTTTCTCCTGTTACTCCCAATTGAGCAGAGGCGGCTGACCATTATTCTCCAACCCAATCTGTCCTGAGCCTTCCATTCTAGTTCTATGCAATTTTCATTTGTTTTTTTCATGTCTGTCCTCATTTCTCGGCGTAACGTGCTCTGTAATCTTCCTCTTTTCCTTTGGCCTTGGGGATTCCATGTGAGGGCTTGTCTTGTGACGCAGTTGGGTGCTTTCCTCAATGTGTATTCTATCCACTTTCAGCACTTCTTCCTAATTTCTTCCTCCGCTGGGATCTGGTTTGTTCTCTTCTATAGCAGGTTGTTTGTGATAGTGTTTGGTCAACGGATCCGAAGTATTTTGTGTAGACAACTGTTAATAAACACCTGAACCTTCTGGATGATGGCTTTCGTAGTTCTCCAGGTTTCCGCCCCATACAGTAGAACTGCTTTGACATTTGTATTGAAAATCCTGACCTTGGTGTTGGTTGACAGTTGCTTTGAGTTCGAGATGTTCTTCAGTTGTAAATATGCCGCTCTTGCTTTGCCGATCCGCGCCTTCACATCTGCATCAGACCCACCCTATTCATCAATGATGCTGCCCAAATACGTAAATGTTTTTACATGTTCTAAATCTTCTCCGTCAATTGTGATTGGATTGGTGCATGCTGTGTTGTATCAGAGAATCCTGCTTTTCCCTTTGTGTCTATTGAGACCTACTGCTGCTGAGGCTGCTGCCACACTGGTCGTTTTCGCCTTCATTTGTTGTTGCGTTCGGGATAGAAGAGCCAGATCATCTGCGAAGTCTAAATCGTCCAGCTCCATTCTAACTGTCCAGTGTATCCCATTCTTCCCCCGCCCAGATGTTGACGTCTTCATGATCCAGTCGATCACCAGGAGAAAGAGAACGGGTGAGAGTAAACAACGATGAATATTTGTGCAAGTTATCAAATACTATAAAGTTAGGACAAGATTCAATAATAATAAACTTTCAAATAGAAATGAACCATTTTCTTTTTTAATATACTTTTATCATATTTAATTGTTAAATCTAATTCAAATAATCATAGATAACTTATCAGATGAATACTGATATGTATATTTAATGTATACTGTATCAAATGTATCATGGATACCTCAATGATTTGATGGATCCATTTCGATCAAGGTCATTAGTTATAGACGGTTCAACTAATATGACTATCGATAATAATTTATCATAAAACTCAACAAATGCTATTACAGATACCATCTTCTTAGATAAGTCTATTGAAATTACTTTATTCTAATTGGTGAGTTCAATGATCCAAACAAAACACAATGTTCATACATAAATTATCATATTCAATTATTATTATTACACTAAATAGCATTTCTTTTCTTTTACTCTTATAATCATGACAAATAAATTGAATGTTAAGTAAGTAGTATATTTTGATCAAAATAAATTTATTAATTTAATAGTTGAATTCATAAGTCAATTGAAATTGGACTATGATGGCAAACCTGGAAATATTGGGCGGTTTTTTCGTCCTAGTAGGAGACACCTCAACAGTGCACATTGACAATCCCGACTCGCGAGATTTGAATCCAGGAGCTGTCGGTCTCGTCCACGAGCGCTCAACCATTAGCATATACATTCGGTATCCAACGGTGTTAATATTTAACCCTCTCTCGTTTTAATCATCATATGCTCATTAGTGATGGTCTCCACAACGTATTTCCAGGAGTTGTAGTGAGAAGCCATGATCAGTGGAATTCAACCAGATCTGTTGTGAGATAATAACTCACTGAAGACAATAGTGGATGTGTCTCTCAATTTCGTGGATGGATTGAAGTTAGACATGAACACTGTTGAATGATGGTTTAGTGGTCTATTGGTTAAGCGTTCACGCCCGCGATTGATATGTCCTGGGTTCGAATCTCATGAGGCGGGGTCATGGATACACACCATTGAGGAATCCTATACTAGGACGAAACGATCATCCGGTGTTTCCACCTTTTTGCATACTGATCTAACTTCAATTAATTCATGACTTCATCTAATAAATTCTTGTATTATCCTCAAAAATCCTTCTCTGATTATAATTCAATTGATATTTGTTTATATATTTTCTTATAGATCTATTATCATTCATCTACAATCATATTTCATCATTTGCTCCTATTTTATCGGATCATTATTATTATTATCATCATTAATAATAAACTGTTCAATAAATCAATTAGTTACTGGGCTATCAATTAATTATACCTTTGAAAATGATTCCTTTAAACAAGTAATCAATAATCAATAAATAATCGATAATGTTTTTTCCTATAAAAAAAAATTTTTTTAGTTAAAACATTCTCATTATCTACAACTGATACAATTCAATCAATTGAATTCAATTGAATTAATGAATAGTGAAAAAATTCTATTAACATCCGATATACCATTGGTGAATTGTGCTTTATATAATGATGAATTCAATACAGCATTTAGATACCATGTTTCCAATTAAATTTTATGGTGAATATTATAAAACAGTTAGAATATTATCAAACGGTTAGTAACATCAGTTTATTTCCTGGGGTGGAGGTGGGGGTTGAGGTGGAATGGGGTGGGGTGGGGTGGGGTGGGGTATATGTTTTGTTTCATTATCATTGTGTTAACTGTTTATTCATTGAATTTATTTCATGTTTAGTTAAGAATGTGATATAATTAAATGGATTCTATGAATGAATTTCATTGAATGTAACGAAGATCCATCTCTTTTCTATTTATACATTAAGACTGATACTTATATGTATTACAGAGAAAATATTCATCTTATAGTCTGTAAAGAGTTTGAATTATATTTTTTCTTATTATGAAATCATACGGTGACGCAATGTTGTGGATTGGTTAAAGTTAGACATGAACGCTGTTGAATGCCAGCTGGCTCAATGGTTTAATGCTTAAGCGTTCACGCGCTAGACTGTTAGGTACTGAGTTCGACTCTCGTGAAGTGTGGTCGTGGATGTACACTATTGAGAAGTCCTATAATAGGACGAAACGGCAACCCAGTACTTTCAGGTTTTCCATGGTGGTCTAGCATCAATTGACACATGATTTCAACAATTGAAATTATAATATATTTTAAATTGAGATTGTACTTATCAGTCAGTGGATTATGAAATCTCTTTAGGGAATGATGACAATATTCTGTTGCTAAATAAAAAATGCTCTTGTAGTCTTGAAATTGAAGTCCCAATGTAGTCATTTATAAGGACTAATAGGTCCTGGGTTCGAAACTCGCGGGGCGGATTATTGGTTGTGGAATGCTGATGAGTCTCATACTGGGATGAAATGGCGGTTCACTGCTTCCAGGTTTTCCATAGTGATCTAGCTTCAATTGACTCATGAATTCGACTAGTGAATTAGATATAAGTCATTTATCATTATCGCTACTCAGTTAATGAGCTAATTATACATTACGAGTTATAAGTTTTGGTGATCAGACTTGATTGTTGCCATGTGTATAAACACTATGCAATTATATATGATACTAAATACAATCTCAATGCATAAGGCTATACTTTATTTCTTTTTTTTTCTATATGAGCCTTGTATTCTCTTAGTAATTCTTTTATACAGAGAATAGATCATATTCGTTTAGACTTATTTATTGTAACAACGTATTGTAAAACCTCCTTAACTAAAAGTCCTTTCATAATATAAATTATCATATAAACATATGAGCTGAATGGTTTGGTCGTGGAGCTTTCTTCATTCTATCCAGCTTATAGAACAGAACTCCATTAAAATCGTCCACTTGAGTTACAAATCTTATCCACCATTCTTTTATGGTATGGGATTACCGACTCTCATACCCGACCCTCCTCCTCCTCCTCCTCCTTTACCTGGGTTTAAGACTGGCAGTAACTTTAGAAGAGTTATAGAAGGCCTTATATTCACCTAGTATTCATTGTTAATTACTACTTATAAGTAAGCCTTCTTAAATATTCAATGAAAAGTTTTATAAATTAAAATGTCTTAAGCATTCAAACGGATCTAACCAAATAAAATTTGCTTAATTAATAAAACGTGTCACCAGATGACTTGTCAACTTATAAAGTTAGAGAAATACCTTCATTATTATTATTATTATTTAACATGATTATCATAGTATTTCATAGTGAAAATAGTTTTAGTTAACTTCAAAAAAAAAAAACAACGAAAAAAACAATGGTGCTAGTGGTAAACTAAACTATTGAATTTATTTGTAACCAGTTGCCAAAGATGGATATTGGCTAACAGTGGAAGCTAGGACGCACGTTTCGTCCTATTTGAGACTCGTCAGCTGGATGTACCAACATCTCAATCACTATCCATCTTTGTTTATAAAGCTTGGGAATTAAGGCAATATCGAGGCATACGCACAGTATGCACATATGCCAATATGAGATTGATCAATTGCAGTCTTAAACCTAAATGAGAAGATTCAAGCAAAACAATATCAAGTGAATGTAGTTGGTGTAAATTTTAAAATGAATAGTTTTTTCTTACTACATGAAAGCTAATATAACTCTTAGATAGTTGAATCATTTTCAGTTCAATATTAGACTAGCATTGAAAACATGGAAGCATTGAATGACTGTTTCATCCTAGAATGGGACTTTAAAACAGTGAGCATTTATGATCATACATACAGGAATCGAACTCAAGACCTCTGTTTTGGAACGTGAGAAGTTTAACTCTAAACTAGTGGACCGAAACCCAACAGTGTTAATGTTTAACTCGAATCAGTGCATGACTTTGAACAACCATCTTCCATTGTTATCAGTAAGTAACTGCTTGAATACGCTGTGGAGTCCCATGTTAAGATAAAATGTCCATCCAGCGCTCACAGGTTATCTATGGTGATTCTTATTGACCTTTATGAATAACGGATTGAACTAGACTGAAAAAAAGTTGTATGAACTGAAGAACTGATTCATTCAACTGTCAGTCTATTCTTAATCAATAGTCAGTCTTAAATTCTTGTGCTTCATTAAAATTACGAATCATTATGATAGCTTCCACTGAACTACTTCTAGCACATACAACATTTTGTTAAACCACCATTGTAAACCAGGAAGTATTGGACGGTCGTTTCGTTCTATTGTGGGACTTCTCAACAGTGCGTATCCACAATCTCGCTCGCGGGATTCGAACCTCTAGAGCCTTCAGTCTCGAGAGCGAGAGCTAAACAACAAGATCACTGAGCCAGCATCCAATGGTGTTAATGTCTAACTTTAACCAATCCACGAAATTACGCGACCATCTTCGATTGTATGGAGGTAGATACCTGTCTCTACCCGACATGGATTATCTATTTCTAACACATACAACACATTTATTAAACATTAGGAATTATTTATTTATTTTGTTTTACATTAATTCAAGGTATTATAAACATTGTGGAGCCAAATTTTGGAAAATTATCTGGAAGCATTAAAGTATTTTATGGAGTTTGGAAAACGGGTCAAGTGGATATTATTCATAATGGTGAGTTATTCTACTATTGAAAGTTTAATTAGTTTAGAATAACTTTAGTCATCGGATATCAGTCAGTCAGTCAGTCAGCCTCGTGAGATTCGAATCCAGGACATATCAGCCGCGGGCATGAACGATTAACCACTAGACCACTAAGTCGGCCATCATCCAACAGTGTTCATGTCTAACTTCAAACAATCCACGAAATTGAGCGACACATCCACCATTGTCTTCAGTGAGTTACTATCTCACAACAATTGACTAATGATCTCAACTATTAAAATTACTATAATATCCACAAAACCCCTTCTAATATTAATTTTTTTCTTAAATGAATTACTAATAATCCGATTCAATTTTATTGCATTTATAGATAAGTTTCTAACGGTAAGATGGCCTAATCTTAACATTTTCAATGCACATGGAAAAGAAATGGAAGAACGTGGTATGTAATATTCTTGGGTACAGTTTATATATATATACATGGTGTGTGTGTTTATGTGTGTTATGAGTATGATGTGAAAGTTTCAACCTACTTGGCACTTCTTAGCAGGCTTGTCCGAAATGTTGAAGATAATGACAATTTGAATCAATGATAACCAATTTGACTATTTAATGTATTGACTAATATCTATATATTTCAATCGGGTCACTTGTGAGATAGTAACTCACTGATGACAATGGTGAATGTGTCTCTTAATTTCGTGGATTAGTTGAAGTTGAATATTAACACCGTTGGATGTCGGCTCAGTGGTCTAGTTGGTTACGTGCCTGGCGCGATACTGATAGGTCCTGGGTTCGGATCTCGCAAGGCGGGTTCTTGGATGAGCACTGCTGAGGAGGAGTCTCACTATAGGAAGAAACGGCCATCCAGTGCTTCCAGGTTTTCCATAGTGGTCTAGCTTCAATTGACTCATGATTTCAACCAGTAAAATTACTACAGTCTCCACAAAATCTCTTCTGGTATATTTTTCTGTACTGAATAAACCCTTTATATAACTGAAATACTTTACACTGAATAATGACTACCTGAGTAACACTTCAGGTCTCATTTTTGTCTAGTTCATATTACCGACTAAATTCTATCAATCAGTTTTATAATTTGGTTACTAGTCTATATGACCGGATAATCGTACGCCAAAATAGTTTACTAAAATATTCTAGAAAATATTTCTATTATATATTTACTTCAGTTATAGGCTAAATAAGTATCATATTGATTTGAATGCTTGGAATGCTCTATTATTATTAATATGACTTGAAAGATTTAAATAGAATATCCATGAAAATAATGAATGAATTGAGAAGATATTAACTATATAATGAACTGATGACCTCCGATTATTGTTATGACATATAACCTAGTAATGATAATGAGAACACAACTAATAAACTTTTAACATTGTCACAGATTGAAATCATGAGTCAGTTGAAGCTAGACCACCATTGAAAACCTGAAAGCACTGGACGGCCGTTTCGTCCTAGTACGGGACTCCTCAGCAGTGCGCATCCACGATCCCGCACCACGCGGGGCTCGAACCCAGGACCTACTGGCTTCGCGCGCGAGCACTTAACCACTAGACCACTGAGCCGGCATCCAACGGTGTTAATGGTGGTCTAGCCTCAACTGACTCATGATTTCAATCTGTGAAATTTCTAAAATCTCCACAAAACCCATTCTGGTTTTAACATTGTGCCAAATTAATGATTTGTTAACTAAGGATATAAGAAGCCTAGAGTCTTTATTGGTCATGCTCTTACTCATACTCTACCTGTTGAATCCAAAATAGTGATTATCAGCTTCTATTATATGAATCATATAATTCAGACATACTTTGATTATAGACAAGCAAACCTGAATATATCATACTATAATGTAATATAACAATTATAATAGGATCAAGACAAAAAGTGACTATGTATGTGAGATATTGTAACTAATAAATTGGAAATAACTGAAGAATAGTAAATCGTATAATAGGAGACAACGGGTCAAATGGAAGCTTATAATAGAAGAAATATGAATATATATGTAATCTAGTTACTGAACAGTGATACAATAAGAATTTATTTCACTGTATTATACTTCTTGAATAACATCTTCAACCCCTACTGTTTCCGATTATTGCTTATACTTTTACTACCTCTAGCACTACGGGATTTGAATCGACAACTGAATCTCTGTGCTAATGTGATGTGGCAACTCGAACTGATGTACGTACGTACGAAGTTCTACGTTGTTACTGACTGACAATAAAAATATACATGTATGATAACAGTCTCTAAACAGATCCCAAAACTACCCATAATTTAATCTTCGTTAGGAGCTAACAGTTATTAGTAGTTATAGATTTATCTATTTTGAACACACAGATATTGGTACAAGGGGGCATCAGATACATATGCGCCACACAAATCTCATTTGCTTTGTGTAAGGACTGTGATACTGCCGGGGTGCCCAAACCGAAGCAGTTATTAGTAGTGATATATCAATCTTTTTTATAATTTTCAGCACAAATAACATGCACAATACATGTTAATGGGAACATATCGATTTTCTTTGAAACAGTAAGTTGACTAATTATTGAAATATTCTATTTCCTTTAATAAGAATCATTTACCATAATTTACTGCGAAATTTAAGCTTGACAATAACATTGATGTGTGACAGAGAGTTATCAGAATGGGGATTTTAGTAATTTAATAATTGAATTTATGAGTGATCATGGAAAACCTAGAAACACTGAACGACCGTTTGGTACTGGTGTGGAAATCCTCAGCAGTGCGCATCCACGTTCCCGCTCGCGGGACTCGAACTCAAGACCTATCGGTCTCGTGCGCGAAAGCTTAAACTCTAGACCAGTGAGCCAGTATTTAACAGTGTTAATGTCTAACTTCAATTAATGCACGAAATTGAGCCACTGCCCATCTTTGTCTTCAGTAGGTTACTATCTCACAATAGAGCTCGTTGACCTCCTTGGATTACGGCTTCTCACTAGAACTCCTGTAAATACCTCTGCTAAACGTTCAGTAATATTAACTTCACTTGGTATTGTTAACTTGACTCTTCCACCGCTATCCACCATCCATCTTTGCTTATAATGATTGTGACTTAAGGTAATATCGAGGCAGTCCGCACAGGATGCACATGTGCTAACGAAAAACTGATCAAAAGCAGTCCTAAATAACAATGGAAAGATTCAAGTAAACAATACCAAGTGAATTTGAAAGTTCAGTCCCAATACACAAGCAAGTGGCTATCAGGACTCAGTAGCTAAGTAGACAGAGTTTGAAGTAAACGATACTGGGTTCAAGTTGCACAGTGTACATTAACTCTGAGATGCAGGTACATCCAGTTGACGAGTTCCAGGTAGGACGAAACGCGAGTCAAACTGGATTCCACTGCTAACCATTATCCATCATTGCTTAGAAGAATAATAATAATTATTGATTAATAGTTATGAATATAATTATAAGTTAGTAGGAAGAATAGAATAGAATTAAAATGATAGATCATATGATATAGAGAAAAGGAGATTAAGAACATGGAAAATGAGTAACTAAGCATAGTATAATCAGATAGACGTTTTATGGATATTATATTAATTTAATGGTTAAATTCATGAGTCGATTGAAGCTAGACCACCATGGAAAACCTGGAAGCACTGTATTGTTATTTCGTTCTAGTATGTGATTCCTCAACAATGCGCAACCACGATCATAGTATTTTTGTACTAAAAAGTTAGGGTTAAAATGTTGGTTAACAATAACCTCTAATGTACATAAGTTTTTCACTTACATTCCTATTAAGCCAATTCTTCTGATTGCATATAATGATTTTGATGGAGCCTTCTGATGTAGTGAAGTAATAAGTTTCACTGGTTGAAATCATCAGTCAATTGAAACTAAACTACCATGGAAAACCTGAAAGCACTGGACGGCCGTTTCGTCTTAGTATAGGACCCCTCCTCAGCAGTGTGCATTCACGAACTTGCCCCCAACGAGATTCAAACCCAGGACCTACTGGTTTCACGCGCAAGCGCTTAACCACTAGACCACAACCAATCCACGAAGTAATAAGATGAAAATCATTGTCCTTTTGATCACTATAAACAACAGAATAATAAAAAATGTTATAATAATTACCAATTCATAATCCTATGAAGATAATTGTAAAAGTGTAAAAAAAAATGATAAAACAAACAAAAATAATAAACTGTAAACAAGTAAAATAAATAAAAGAAAAAACAAAAAAATTTTTTTGTTGTTTTGGCAAACTTATAATGAATGTCACTTGCATACTTACTTACCTACGCCTGTTACTCCTAATGAAGCATAGGCTGCCGACTAGCATTCTCCAACCCACTCTGTCCTGGGCCTTCTTTTCTAGTTCCATAATGAATGTCACCAATGTTTATTTACTTTTTTTTCGCTTTTTATTACTTAAAGTTAATTATCATCTAATGACATTTATAAACTGTTAGACAATAAACTGTCACTAAAATCACGAAGCCTAGTTCAATGAATTAAGGTCTTAATGTATCATACGATACTCATAATATATAAACAATAATATGTGGAGTGTATTAATGAATATAAATTCTTTATAATAAAAACTGAGTTCATCTTTGTTTATTAATGATTAATTATGTCATAGTTACTGTATTATGTAACTAAGGTGAATCTAACTTAATTGGCATACAAACTTGTCCTATTCATAATTTCTTTTTTATTTTTATGAAACAATTTTTATCAGTATGAAGTTAAGTTTTTGATTGACATCATGAACTAATTGACATTAGACCATTATTGAAAGCCTGAAAACATTGGATGGCTGTTTCGTCTTAGTATGAGACTCCTCATCAGTGCGCATCCATGACCCCAGGGTTTTCGGTCTCGCGTGCTCACTAATGATTAGCTTCCTGAGGGAGTTCTCGGAGTTTTAATGAGAAGCTGTGATTAGTGGAGTTCAGCCAAATCTGTTGTGAGATAGTATATCCCTGAAGATAATAATGGATGGTGACGCAATTTCGTGAATTAGTTGGAGCTAGACATTAACACTGTTGGATGCCGGCTCAATAGTATAAAGGTTAAGCGAGCATGAGAGAGACTGATAAGTCCTGGGTTCGAATCTCCCAAAACGGGATGATGGACATGCAAGAGTTCCACATTAGGTCTAGCTTAAATCGATCCATAAATCCAACCATGACAATGAAATGTCTTTTACAGTCAAGGTTAAACATATTTCCAATTAACTGTTGTAAAACGCACTGTTTTCTATTTTAAATGTTCAAACTAATTTTAGTACGTCACTAATCATTCATTTGTGTTAAAATATTCAGTTACTAAATTATTTCTTTTAATTCATTGTTTATATATTGCTGTTCATCAGATACCGAATGGAACATTTAATGAAACAGAAGAATCTATGCCTGGAAGTACTATATATTATCCAACGAAAATTCAAAGTAAGTTAAGTTTCATATAAGAGAATCAGTGGAATATTGATGATAATTTTATTCATTACTTTATGTTAAATACATTAGAGAACTCTAAGTAGATGAAATCTGAAAACGTTTTTCGAAATCTTTATATATATATATATAATATCAAAGTGAGGATCTTCAATACGAACGCCAAGGCAGTTCTACTGTACGGAGCTAGAACGTGGAGAACCACACCAACCATCATCAAGAAGGTGCAAGTATTTATAAATAGCTGTCTACGCAAGATACTCAACATCCATTGGCCGGATACCATCAGCAACAGCCTTTTGTGGGAGAGAAAAAACCAACTTCCAGCTGAAGAAGAAATCAGGAAAAGACGATGGAAATGGATAGGACATACATTGTGGAAATCATCAAACTGCATCACGGAGCAATCCTTAACCTGGAATCCTGAAGCAAAACGGAAAAGAGGAAGGCCAAAGAACACATTACGTCGGGAAATAGAATCAGATATGAAAAGAATGAATAACAACTGGAAGGAGCTGGAAACGATTTCCCAGGACAGGGTTGGATGGAGAACGCTGGTGAGCGGCCTATGCTCCTTCATGAGGAGTAACAAGCTTAAGTAAGTCAGTAAGTAATAAAAGCTAGAAATCATTTTCGAAGGATTGGAGAATAAAATTTACATAGTAATGTTTAGTTGTTGCTTTAGGACTGTAATTGATCAGTTTCTTGTTGGCATATATGTATCATATGCGGACTGTCACGATATTGCCTTAATTCACAAACTTTACAAGCAAAGATGGATAGTGGTTAGCAGTGAGATCCAGTATGACGCGCGTTTCATCCCATTTTGGACTCGTCAGCTGAATGTACATGCATAAATCAATATTAGTTAGATATTTTCAATCAAAGAATAAGATCATATATGAATTATAGTCTTAAGACTATCTCATCTCATATGATTTTATATTTTGTTTTTCAAAGTAAAAATACAGAATAAAGACAAAATAGTCAGATGTATGATATTGCCTCTTGAATTTTTCACGTTAGACTCATTCATCTATACTCCATAGAATAATTTTCTTATTTCATTATGGTTGATATAACTTAGAGATAAAGACCTCAACTTCAATTTCTTATCCTGATTTCTAATTCTAACTACTAATTTTCAATCCGATTTTTTTGAACGGAATAGTTAGATGATACTCGTAAGCTAAAAGTATTTGATCACAGATGTTTTAGAAATATTGCTGGCGTCTGCTGCGATTACCGGGTAAGTAATAGTGAGGTTAGACGCAGGGTATTAGGGAATGACGGTAAGTCAGTTGATGAGGTTGTGAATATTTATCGACTGAGATGGTTGGGCCACGTGTTACGTATGCCTGAACACCGATTACCACGACGTGCAATGCTAACCGGTGTTCGGGATGGTTGGAAGAAAGTTGGGGGGCTGCCAAACCAAAACGTAGCATCAGTCATCGAAGTCACTAACTTCTAGTCTGAGCCGTGCTGGGAGATGCAGACTACTTGATCGGGGTCCGCATGACTATCGTAACCAATGGTTGGAGACTGTGTGTGACATGGCTCAGAATTGGTCACAAAGGCGTAGGTGTATACACTATATGTATTCCCTTAAACTATGAGATTAAAATCGTTTCATATCTTTCTTCCTACGTATTAGTTCTTTCTTTCTGTACTATATCCTTATTGCAATCTTTCTTTTATATATTACCACCTATGAATAAATACTTTTATGAATCCGGTGTCCATCTTGTTGTGTTAATGAGGTATGGCAACTTGGACCGATGCACATATGTGCCTTGTCCTACGTTGCAGCTGACTGACTGAGTTAGATGATATTTCACAGGATCATTCTTAAATTGATCAAGATCACTCTCATACTTTAGTTCTACCTAATTTTATTTATGTCTTATTATATCAGATGGTATTTTACACGAAATGAAAGACTTGACTATGATTACTTTACTTACTTACACACATCTGTTACTCCTCTTTGGAGAGCATAGGCCACCTATAAGCACTCTACATTCAAGTCTGTCCTGTACCGCCTACCACCAATTTGTTTGATGCACACATGATAGTTGCTAAAAATACCTAGTGATGATATGCAAAGATAAAATCAAACTATGAAAATTTGTTTATTCATTCTTCACAACTGAATATTCAACTGTAAGTTTTAAAGTGATTTACATTTCCTTGTGAATTCCTTCTTTATACTGTAGTAATTCATATTCAAATTATACTATTGTGCTTCTTTGACTTTTTTTTTATAGATTATGCCTATTCACCTCATTACAAAAACACTGCGATAAAAGTTCCTGCATTCTTGATAAAGTCGAACACCTTAATGGAATTTATACCAGATCCAAGTAGGTGGAGTTAAAACGAATTATTGATTTTTAATTATGTGATTATAGCTTCGTTTTTATCACTAGGTGAACAAAATGTAATTGATTTTCTTACATACGTTTAAATGTCTATTAAGATTAAGTTTGCATCATTGATGTAAGGATGTATGTAACTCGTAAACGTGCTCCATGGTTTAGTTCTGATTTCTTCTTCTTCTTCTTCTTCTTCATATCCCGTTACAATAAATGAATTCTTGTTTCACAATTAATCCATTTAAATATCAAACTGTTAATCTCAACCTGATACATGAATAGTACTTAAGCACCTTGTTGGAATCACATAGACTTTGTATCATTAGAGATTATGTAGTAAAAACAACGTCAAAGATCTTCTCATGTTTTATTGTTATCGAAGAAAATTTTCCGTATGACTTACCATATAAAACGGCTGCATAATTTTGGGATTATTTGACATTTACCTTAACGATTTGTCGATTCTTGAATATAACCCATTATACTTTACTGTTCTCCATTATCCTTTCTCGGGCTTTTAAGATAAGATCTTTCTGTATTGTGAAGAGGGCTAAAGGCAGTTAGCAAGGTGTATCGCGATTCTTTTAAGGTCATTAATAATATATAGTTGTGGATGGACATCTAAAATCTTGAAAACTGCTAGAAGGTGTTGTCAGATATCAACCCTCAACTTCATTTATGTCTTTCTCCATGTATATCTTCTAGTAGAACGAGATGTCAATACATTAGAATCCATGCACGCAAGCTAAGGTATCAAACTTCTACAATACTTTATGTTGCAAAGACACTACGTGTAGAACAGATTGTAAGAGTTGACCTAGACAATAGTCTGTATTCTCAAACATGTTTCTAATTAAAAGTTGTACAGACTTTTGCCTTATTAAAATAACGTTTAATTCTAGACAGCTCATTCACTTACTTCATATACACATGTATGTAATCATCGACTATTGGAATCATTTTGGTAAAAGAAATTTGTTGAACTATTGTGTGCCGAGGGTTTCATATCGTGATAAACATAATACTGAAATCTGTTATTATTATAATAACCCTAATACCACTACCGTAGGGAATGAGAACAGAAGTGGATTACAGAATTTCTTGGTCAAATCTGAGAACCATACAGTAAATACTTCATTTGCAAAATATTCATCAATTATATCAGAATTTGTTGTTCCTTCGTCTCCATACCAATTATTCTCTGTTCTCCTTCTCTTCTCGATTTCCTCAACTTTCTGCCTCCAAGTATTCCACTCTCGATTGGTGATACATACTACTTATATCTGTTAACATCAGTAGCACAAACCATACTACTGTTACTGATGGTGATAATAATAACAATTATTATTATTATGAAAAGTAGTTTTGCATATTATTATTGTTATTACTATTATTATTTAAACACACAAACATTATTACAAAGAGGCACCAAGTAGATATGCGCCACATAAATCATTCGATTTGTGTGAAGGCTGTGATACTGCCCGAGTGCCCAGACCGAAGCAGGTGGTTTTCTTAGGGAGCCACACTCCGAGCCTTCGACTTGAAGGTCTGATCCACAAGGCAGTGGAGCATCGTGAGGAGATGTAGTCCCATGGTAGCCGGTGACCGAAAATTGGTTCATACGCCATTTGTTCCCGCAGGATACTGGAGCCCATGTGCACCATTGGTTTGGAATCCGGTTAAAGCGTTGAACATTCGCTTTTCATCCTCTCAATTCCGTAAACAACACTCCCGCCACGACAAGGCAATGAGTATGACTTCCCTGGCAGAGGCTATATACGCGTGGCCATGTGAGAGCATTTCGAGAGGGAGAGCGAACTCTCCCCACTCTCGGCCATACCAGGGCATTCGGGGGCAGTTTTGCATCTAAATGTACATCATCCAAAAACCTTATTGGTACAGAAATGTCAATTATCAACAATACTGTTTATAATTAACTGTGATCACTCTATTTAACCTTGTTTTTATTCCATCCATATTTTTTACAGTCACATAAATATTGTATCAAATAAGACAGAACCATACTTTTATGAGGTATTCAAATTAGGTTTGGAAAATATAAGATTTTAATAATGTCGGTATTGTCTCATCAGTATAGGGTTTTGGAGATTGATGAGTTTAGATTGATATCATGAATGGATCAATGTTAGACCGCCAGTGAAAGCCTAAAAGCACTGGACGACCGTTTCGTTGTATTATGGGACTCCTCAGCGCTGTGCGTACACGATCCCGCACACAGTTTTTGAACCCGAGACGTTTGGTCTCGCACGTGAACGCCTAATTAATGATGCTTAAACAATAATAATAATGAATAAAAATTACAAATTTGTTGTTATGGTAGTGAGTCAGAGATTGGACAAACAGATTTTACTAATATCACTTTATCCACAATTTAATCAAAAGACAGATCTACTGTACGGAGCGGAAACGTGCAGAACTACCACAACCATTATCAAAACAGTACAAGTATTTATAGACAATTGTCTACACAAGATACTCAATGTCCGTTGACTGGATACCATCAGCAACAGTTTACTGTTGTAGAGAACAGACCAGCTTCCATCTGAAGAGGAAATTAAGAAAAGACGTTGGAAGTGGATAGGACACACATTACGGAAATCACTAAACTGCATCACGAGGCAAACGTTAACTTGGAATCATGAAGGAACACGGCAAAGAGGTAGGCCAGTGAACACACGGCGCCGAGAATTGGAAGCAGGTATGAAAACGATGAGTAGGAACTGGAAAGGATTTTTCAGTACAGAGTTGGTTGGAGAATGCTAGTGGGCCACCTATACTCTTTCATGCCGGATAATAGGCGTAAGTATGTCAGTAAGTATTGTCGCTAGGTCCAAAATTATATGATACTTCCACAAGTTTCAATGAGCATAACACACAAATTCACTTCGAAAGCCTCATTTACCATAAAGCAAATGGCTTTATCCCTGTATTTAACAAAGAAGTCGAACAACTTAAAACAATCACTGTAAACTGTCACAATCGATATACCAATACAGGGTCAACTACTAAACGGCTATTTCTAAGAATATAAATTTCAACTATTGGATCTATTGAGAAACAATGATATAGTGTTGGGTCATCCAGATAAAGGTGCCGTGATTGTCATCGTGAATCGAAATAACTGTGTTTTGAAAGTATTTTGTATTCTCTCTGATACCAACAAATTCCTTAAAGAAAAAGCCTAAAAAGATGTTTCAAGTCAAAGGGAGCAGAAATTAATAAAAATCCTTTAGGAAGTAAACTACAAACCAGTTACCAATGGAAATCTCAATGAAAAACCTAGACCAACTGGATTCATTATTTCACGACTACATGGCCTACCTAAAGTACATAAGAAAGATATTCCTCTATGTCCTGTATTAGATATGAATAACTCGCCATATCATGCCATCACCAAATAGCTAGCTGGAATTTTTCGATCAGTCAGAAATCAACTAGATAGATACATCACTGGTGATTTGTTTGATTTCGTTGATTCACTATCGAGTGTTACCGTAACGGGAAAGAAAATGACGTCACTAGATATCCTCTCTATTTTTACAAATGTACCTCTAACGGAAATAAACTGCCTACTATGTGATTATATTGAAAACAACAGACTCGATATCGGTGTCCTAGTACATTATTTAAAGGAAATACTACTCCGATGCACTCTTGACGTTCAATTTAAATTCGACAATGAGTTATATAGGCAAACTGACGGCATAGCGATAGGGTCACTGCTCGAGCCACTTTTAGCTGACCGTTTTATAGCTTATCTCTAAAACACTATACTAATACTAAGACGACACGTTTGTGACAAAAATATCAATGTCAACGACATCGTGGATGTATTTATTAACTGTCATTAACTAATTAAATTCACGACTGAATCAGAGTCGGATTCAGATTTCCACTTTTTAAATGTTTTGGTTAAAAGATCTGACGGTTCTCTGCAAAGATCAAAATAGAGAAAGCCAATATGGAATGGTTAATACATGAATTTTCAAAGTTGGGTCCCACTGGAAGAAAAGAGAAACCTAATCCATTCTCTATGTATATGGGTTAAACGTATCTGTACCGAAGATACGATCGATATCGAAATTGATTAACTAAGGTAGATACTGATCAATACTGACTATCCACCTAGATTCATTGAAAAAAAATCTGAAGTCAAAACAACAACGTGAAACAGTGTCCACAGCAGCAAAGAAGACTCTCTCCATAAACATCTAGTTTGAAAGTGATAGTGCAGCAAAAATTCTGAAAAATAGACATTCAAGATGTCTAATGAAAACGATTTAGTCACCCTGTAATTCGAAATTGTGCGAAGGTTAAACTCCCACTTTGGGCGAAATCAACGAGCAGCTTAATAGCTATTTAATGGAAAACTATTCACAACTTACCACTTTTTCACTAGACGATTGCATGATCGTACATTATAAGTAAATGAAATTGGTGAAAAAGAGATTTTATTCACCGAACAGTCTTCTTATTTATTCAGTAGCACACTACTCTATCTCATGTAAAATCGTATAAACAACTTAATATTAAACTACATATTGTGAATGAATATAATACATATAATACATAGGCGCATAAAACAATGATGATAATAATTAAACTCAATATAAGAATATTTAAAAATAAACAGAAATTAGATAATAATCAACATATTCTCAGTGGTGACTGGCTTCAAAATGTATATCCTGGAGTTCTAGTGAGCAGCAATGACCAGTGGAGTTCAACCAGGTCTTTTGTGAGACGGTAGCTCACTGTAGACAATCGTAGATGTGTCGATCAATTTCGTGGATTAGTTGAAGTTAGACATTAACACCATTGCATGCCTGCCAGCTCAGTGGTCTAATGGTTAAGCTCTCGCGCACGAAACTGATAGGTACTGGGTTCGAATCTCGCGAGACAGGATCATGGATACGCACATCTGAGGAGTCCCACAATAGGAAGAAACGGCCGTCCAGTGCTATCAGGTTTTCTTAGGCAGTCTATCTTCGATTGACTCATGAGCTCAACTATTGAACAGACAAAATGAAATTGAAAAAAATAATAAAAAACAAGAAAAAAAAAGAAAATCAAAAAATCCATAAAAAACAAAAAAAGTAATTCACATATAAAACACTATAAGAATTAAAGTTCCATTAAACACCCATTGACAAAGTACTAGTTTAAAAGAACTGCAAGGTCTCGTAAATAATTCATATAGTTTATATTGACACTATTGTAATAAGTGTTCTCAAAGAAAAATCCCTTATCAACACATCTAATTTTTTTTTTCATGTTCAAGTTTGCTCTGATCAAACATCATGCGGTGAATGCCTCAAACCAGGTGCATTCGCTACAAAATGTTATTGGTGTCCAAGAACAAGAAAGTGTACTAATACTCATGATAGTTATGCGAGAATGTGGAAGAAAGGAGAGTGTCAAATACAGGTAAGAGATTCGACTTTTACTCTATTGTACCATTAAGTATTATGTTATTCTTTAAAATTAATTTCGTCACATTGTTAGCCTATAATTGGTTCTATTGGAATACGAATAACTTACTGACTCTATAAAATTTTATGTGTTTATACTTTGTATCAGTGTTTATAGAAAATCTTCGTTGTTTCACTTCAATATCCTTTAAAACAAGGAATCTGTGTAACTTTCTCCTTTATAAGGCTAAATTGGTATAACTTTTCACTCAATTTCATCATAGAGATCATTTATATTTCCACAAAACAACCATATTTGTAATATTTACTGACTAGCTTACAAATATCAGTAGAAAATGATTGGCGTGCACACAATTCGTGTGATTAAAAAATTGACGGATAAATCTAGGGAGAACTGTACACACATAAAAGTGGACGGAGAGAAAGACACGACTTATCAACTTTGGGTAAACCTCATAGTCGTCGTGTACACCATCCAGTTGATTTGAGCGAACCATTTCGTTCAGATAAAGAAGTTGACGACGTTTAGGTGCTTCAAAATGCTTGTAAGCATACTGTGATATCTTGAAACCTGCTGACTAATATCATGTGGCGAGTCACTAATCAGAATGCTACTTCTAAATTGATCTGTTATCTACTCTATAGATTGGTGTCTCTGACTCGATCTATTGTAAGCCCGACCAGCACTAATGACTTTGACACGTTGATTGCCTTTCTATCGATCCAGCAACTTCCGTCACGTTTCTAGACCACATTCTCAGCACATACACCGCAATCAAGTTATATTTACAATCATTTTCAATCTCCAATTCTCTGTTTGTTCAGCGGTCAGTCTAGAAACATATTCTACAGTTAACGGACATAATAGCATATCATCTATTCAAATTCCACTTACTATCCAGTGAAATAAAAAGCCTTCTAGAAATCTTCACTAAAGTAGTACTTAAACAGGGATTCAATACAGAACATGTAGTGGACACGCTACGTTTCCTCACAGATTACAAACATTACTTACGTTCGCCTGTTACTGCCAATGAGGCATAGGCCGCCGACCAGCATTACCCAAACCACTTTGTCCTGTGCCTTGCTTTCTAGTTTTATCAAACTCGATAAAAAAACGCTAACCAAAAAAGAAAATAATTCACATTTACCACCATACCAAGTCGTATATTGTTTATTAGCGATGACTCCTTTGAAATGTAAATCATATGGTCACATTGTTTCTTTTTCTAGAATAGTGAAAACTGTACTGTTCAGAACGATATTTTAACTAATCCGATTCGAAATATCATCAGTACAGCAAAATCCTCGATCAAAAGGAATAAACTTACAAATCTCACACAGAAAATTACAAACAACAATTTATCAGAACGTGTACCCAATACAACTACTGTTCAAGTAATTCAAGTTAATAAAACATTGAGTATTCAACTAGGCAATATGTTTTTTATGCTTCAACATGTGATTGATAGTTCGTATATAATCTTATGGATGTTAGCGACTGTATTCATTATTCACTTCATTATCCTTTTCAATATATTATGTAATCTATTATAACTTTCTTACTTCTTATCAATGATTTCTTTGTTATCACGATATTTTATTCCGAATTTATTATTCTTATTTATTCACTTATCCACTGTATGTGCTGAGAAGTTGTATGTTTCTAGGGAAATGTTCGTCTTCATTATTTGATTTGTACATACATGATTATTATTAAACAGGAATTGGATAGATTTTCATCAGAATAGTGAATGAATATGTTATAGATGCAGAATAATGTGCCAATCATTATCATGTTAAGCCTAGTGATGACCTTGGACATTCCCTATTGGCCATTATTTATTTCATCCGTTAAATATTGTACAAATGTTGTTTTCTATTTTTATGGTACGATGTGGTCTGTTTGGTTAGTATATAAATAGAGTATGTCTGAAATACAATGATTCATATCTCAGAGGTTGTGACTTGTGTTCTGGACTCAAATGACTGGGCTAGACAGGGAAGCGAGACCAACAAAGACTCTAGGCCGTCTGTACGTGTTTACGTGTCATTGGATCGATCGATAAATACGCTGCTCTCTAATTTTTCCAGTCAAGGACACAACAATTAGCACAGGGTAAAAATCGACCCAACTTAAAGTCATAACAGAATGACAAAATGAATTAGACAGATAGCAAAACTAAATGACAAGAGATTCAAACGTTTTATGAAATATATAAAAAGATAACTGTTAAATTTTGCACAATGTTTCAAATTGTTGTTGTGTCCCAATAAGCATAATGAGTGGTCATTTTCTGGGATCTATTTATGGACCAATATTGTGCGTATATTTTTGTTGTGTAATTGTCAATTAACTAAACTATTCATATTCATGTCTCTCTTGACATAAGCTTTATTTTAACCTGTGAACTGTTATTATACGATTTTCCATTCTTGAATTATGCCCTGTCTATTAATCACTACCTCCCACATTCATAGCCACATTTGGCCAAATCTTGTACAAATGTTGTTTTCTATTTTATGGTACGTTGTGGTCTGTTTGATTGGTATATAAACAGAGTATGTTTGAAATATAATGATTCATATCGCAGAGACTCGAATTGGTGTTCTGGACTTAACTGGCTGGGCTAGGTGGAAAGCAGGACCAATCAAGACTCCAGATTGGTCGCACGTGTTTTGCGTGCCCTTGGTCCGATCGATAATTCGCTGCTCCCTAATTGGCGGTTACAAGTTATAACAACTGTTTAACCATACCAATTTTTTGTTCACTACCAAGTAATAAACCTGTGACTTTTCAGACCTGAATTTTACAATTAGTTAATTCTACTAACATTTTGTAGTGAAAGAGAAAACAAGTGAAGACAGTCGATTATATATAGCACAAAATTACAGAGCTTCTTAGTAAAATAAAAAAGTCACACTTCAAATACTTCATTTGCAAAATGTTTATTATTTGTCTCAGATTTCATTGTTCCAGCATTTCTGTACCAATTGTTTTCTGTCCCTATTCTTCCCTTCTTGATCTTATCAACCTTTTGCTGCCAGACATTTTATTCCTGACTAGCGTTATATACTAATTATGTCGATATAAGTAGCATACACTACAATGCCAATAGCCAGAATTTATCTTCTTGCACACAAATTCTCGTAATTAGTTCATATTTTCACTACATATGGATAAAACCCTCAATAGATAAACACCTGGCTTCCGTCCAAATGTCATATTATACATCCCTAAAGTTTTTTATTTCAGAAAATTCCCGCAAAATTCGAGCATGACATTGTACTGATTAGGCAGCTGCTTAATCAACTCATGCCTCAAAATATGACCGGGGTCACCTTGCTAAAGGTGTACAGACTAGGGAGTCTAGCGAACTCGAAACCAAATCATTCCAGACTGCTTAAAGTAGTATTCAGCTCTTCGAACGAACGTGACGTAATTTTACAGAATGGACACAAATTAAAGGGTTCAGGAGTCTTTATCCGAAAGGACCTACCGTTGGCAGACCGTGTTAAAAGACGGGAAGCCGAGAAAGAACTACAACATAGGTTAGACGCTGGCGAAAAGGACCTGAAAATTGTAAATTTTCGGGTTGTAAGACTTCGACAGAGCCGAAGCCAGTATGGGTGAAGCACGAAGGCACCTAAACAGGCTTCGGATCTGTTACACCAATGCATGAAGCTTACTTAATAAGCGATCGGAACTAGGTGTACAGATTGACTCTACAAAGCCAGATATAATCGCAGTAACAGAAACCTGGCTGACACAGGCTATAGATAGTATGGAACTTGATTTCGAGGGTTTTACGTTAGTAAGGGCTGACAGAACACAAAAGCGCAAAGGAGGGGGAGTAGCTCTATTCATTAGGAATGCTATCCCATTTCGCATTATCAATAGTGTATCCCATGAGAGTGAGACGTGTGAATTAGCTAGTCTTCGCTTGAAATGCAAGGGACAAGAGCTGCTGATTGGTTTGGTCTATCGCAGTCCGAGCTGTGAGGCAAATGAGATCCTGTTAAGCAGTCTCAATACTTGGTCCCAAAGTGGTCGATGTCTAATCCTAGGGGACTTTAATGCACCTATGGTAGACTGGGAAAATCTGCGAACTGAATCGTCAGAAAATTCCTTCGAGCAGGAACTAGTAGATTCGGTTATCACATGTGCCCTAGTGCAACATGTGAAAGAAGCGACAAGGTACGATCCGGACACTGAATCATCCTTATTAGATCTTATACTGACTCACTATGAGGATGATGTTGCGAACCTCCATCATATGCCACCCCTAGGTAAAAGTGATCACGCAGTTTTAACTTTCTACTTCCATATAACTGCCAGTCATGAGCACGCGTCAGTCCAGTCCAGACCCAACGTCTGGAAAGCAAACATACCAGACATCATACACTCAGCATCGCTAATAGATTGAACAATAAACCCAGAGTCCTCCATCGAAACGGCCTGGGACGCATTTCGAAAATCATACTTAAAAGTTACCACACCTCACATCCCTTGGACTATATCAAAGGGGCCGAAAAGCTCACCACCATGGTTCAGTAGGGAGGTCCGCATCCTTCTCCGTAAGAAAAGGAAAATGTGGGATAGATTTGGGTTACTGGGGACTGATGAGTCAAAATCTCAGTATCGAAAGTCTCGGAATACTTGTGCCTCAACCCTTCGTAAGTCTAGAAAATTGTACGAGGGAAGACTTGTTAAGGAATCCATAGAATGTCCTAAACGCTTGTATTCCTATATAAACCAAAGGATAAGGAGAAAAGGAAATATTCCTGCTCTATGGGGAGACAGTACTGCTTCATCATTAGTGGAGGACGACTTTGGTAAGGCTCAAGTGTTCTCGAACTACTTTAGCAACGTATATACCATAGAAGCGCCCTTCCCGTCAGCGTATACAGATCCCCCCATACATACACTGGATGGCGTGACCATTAAAGAACTCGATGTCTTTGGTCTGCTAAATAAGCTTGACATAGGTAAATCCACGGGGCCCGATGAATTACATCCTAGGCTACTGAAGGAATTATCTAACTTCGTTGCGAACCCTTTAAGTACATGCTTCAACCTATCCGTTACGCAGGGTCGCTTACCGAAAGATTGGAAAAACGCCATAGTAAGTCCTGTCTTCAAAACAGGCACGAAACACAAACCTGAGAACTACCGCCCCGTTAGCCTAACTAGTGTGGTTGTTAAAATCTTAGAAAAGATTATTCGGAAGGAGCTGTTTAAGTATCTCGATAAAAACCGGATCCTCTCGGAGAAGCAGCACGGCTTCAGAACAGGTTATTCTTGTCTCACCAACTTATTAGTGGCTCGTGAAAGCTGGTGCGCTCTTAAGGACCAAAAGCTACCTGTAGACGTCGCCTTCATTGATTTCAGTAAAGCTTTTGGCAAAGTTCCGCACAACCGGCTGTTATATAAGTTAAGTAAAGTCGGGATTGGAGGCAATTTATTGATGTGGATAAAAGACTTCTTAGTTGGGCGTCAACAAAGAGTAAGGGTGAACTTAAAGTTATCTAACTGGGGAACTGATCTTAGTGGAGTGCCTCAGGGTAGAATTTTGGGGACAGTGTTATTCCTCTTGTGCGCAATTGACCTTCCTCGTCTCCTACCATCATCGGTCTTGCTATATGCTGACGATGTCAAGATATGGAAAACGATACGATGTAAGAGTGATAGCTTAGAACTACAAAATGACCTAAAGAAGTTATCTGAATGGTCTCAAACATGGCAGTTGCCGGTAAATACTTCCAAGTGTGTTGTGACGCATATCGGTCATCAAGGCACAGATACATACACGATGAATAACACTGAGCTACCTGTCGTCCAGACATATAATGACTTAGGAGTCATCGTTAGTCAAGACTTAAAGACTACTGCACACTGCCGTGCAATAGCCGCCAAAGGTTTTAGAACCTTATGGTCAATACGTAGAGCTTTTAATCATGTCGACGCTAAGACGTTTTTGACTTTGTACACAGTGTTCGTACGTCCTAAACTTAAGTACTGCATACAAGCGGCCAGCCCCTGCTTAAAAAAAGACAGTGAGCTTCTGGAAAAGGTTCAGAGAATGGCGACTAAGCTGGTTCCCGCAATAGCGAAGCTTCCGTATGAAGCTCGGCTGGCCAAGCTGAACCTTTTCCCGTTGTCATATCGCAGAACTAGAGGCGACTTGATTACAGTCTACAAATTGCTTAGTGATAAATTTGCACCTGATATGCCCTCATTTCTCCCGTCTTCCAAAACAGAGAATTTACGAGGACACTCCAAAAAAGTTCATAAGCCGAGAACAAATTACTTGTCAGTTGACTAGAGACTTTCCCATCGAATCATCAACGAGTGGAATTCACTACCTCAGCACGTGGTTGAGGCTCCATCCGTCGACTCTTTCAAAAGAAAGTTGGATCAACTGAGAGACCACCATTGCCAGGACTAACATAGGCCATCAAGCCTCCTGCCCTTCCCAAACTGAAACTGAGAAAGCATTCCAATTGATACTCATTAAGTGTAAAACATCCCATAGTGAGCTCACAGCTAATGACTTCACAAGTTGCACTGTGATGGGATTCGCAAGC